ATCATTTTTAATTTCAGCGCGTATCGCGCGCGGCCGACCTGCGCGCACGTGTACCGCCGACTCGGCAAATCGTTTGCGTTTTCGCGCGAGGAACGCGACAAAGAAGCGAACGACGAAGAACAATATTTCTGATATTCCAGCATTTTCCCGACCACCCCATTCGCGGAATCATGCCGACGCGCGCTTTAAGACGCTCCACAGATCGCTCGTCGAATTCTCTCGATACAGAGTCGCGAAATAAACTCCCGTCCATTCTCCTGACACGGGACGGGACGGAACGGGGGATGATGGGGTGCATTCCAAGAATAGCGTCGCGATACATGGGCCCCGTAATTTCGAAATATGGATTCTATTCAAATAGCTTTCTGCTCGAATTCCCGACACGCACGGTCGCGATGAGAAAAAATATGTCAATTTCGTCGCTCGATTTCATCGGGATATCGGCGAAATAATAGCTGCGAAATACACATAGCTGCCACATATCATAAATATATAAGAATCTTTCCGAACAATCTCGTGTTTCGCAAAAATTCTCATATTTCCCAAAAAAGAAATGAAACAGAGCTTATACCGAGTTTAATGTGTGCGTATGTGTATGTGTACAATTGTGTGCATAAAATATATGCATACGTAAACTTGATTGCAAATCAAACGAATCGCGGCACAATAAGACTCTATAATTAACACGTTACCTCGTTATATCGTGCAAAAGCTGGGAATTGCAAGCGTATTTATTAAATCCTCCAGCTACACAGAAAAAAAAATATTAAAATAAGCACGCACGTTGAATAAAAACCCGCGACAACATCGAACAATTCTTTCGCGCTAAACAAAACTGGATACGTACACTGATAAAACAGTAATTTGCAATATAGAGCGCTCTGTTGTGGTTTTCCGCGTGTATATTATTATCTAAAACGGGGTGCGGTTTTCATGGCAGCGTTACGCGCAAATTTGGCAAATATTTTGAAAAAAGGACCAAAATAACTGGAATAATTCGAATAATCCCTCAATGCGCGTCGATTCAAAATTGATCTTCGTTTGCTCGAAGGTGCGGGAATGTAATTGCAACATTTCCGCGACTGGCAGTTCTATCGCACGCGTTCGTTCGACGGTCGGTTCGTTGATTAAATATCAGTGAACTAGAAATTCTGCAAAATCTGCAACCTCATAGTTCGATTTCGACCGTTTCTACGGGAGTGTTCCGGATGTGCAACGGCATTCGAGCAAGGCGTCGCGGCAAGCGATGCAGTAGCACGCACGGGTACAGCAAGCTGTAAACAATCTGACGAGGAAACACTTTCCGTGCGTCGTATACAGTGCCGTTCTTATGAACAAAAATCGGTATCTAAAACCTATTCAATATATTGATCTAAAATTTTACGTACATAATAAATTATATACGGAAAACAGTGTTTTTTTTTTTCTAATAGTCACTAATTTGACCAAATTTGAGACAATTAAGGAGATGCTGGATATGAAAACTTTACCGACATAACATTGACTTTTTTTTTGCAAAGTTTACGTCTTGTTGTTTGTACAGAATTACAAACGCTTTTACACAACAAAAGTGCATGCAAAAATAAATTGGAGCATTGCCGAATATGTGTCGAAAACAAAAAAAAATATGTTAAAATTTAAATTTTGTTTAATACAAACGCTCTGCAGGTTGTACATACCGAAACTGTGCATACTCCAATCAAGAAAATTTCAAAGATCACTACTACACTTTCAGAAATTAGTTTCGATGCCAAAAAAGATACGAAAAGTTTGCAGAAAAGTTTATGATTACATGGTTAGGTTTTCCGACAACTATGATAAAGTAGAGCGAAAAATTAGTTCATGGATATTTTTCGAGATGGTACCGTACTTTTATCGCACTTTTCACAACGTCCGAATATTCAGAGTATACATATATATATATATATATATATATATATATATATATATATATATATATATATATATATATATATATATA